TCACGGGAAAAACACGCTCAACCCCAGGGCTCGAACCCAAGCTTCGAGCAGTTTTGACCACAGTCCTCATTAGATCCTCTAAGACAGTTTAACACGCAGTCGGCTTTCGCGAACATTATCATCCATAACGGTTTGTTTGGGTGGGGGGGGGGGGGGGTTAGATCGCGTAAATATATAAATGTGTCGTTAAACCCGCCGCCACCCGAAATAGCCAATTAGTAAGGTTTGTCACGTTAACAGAAGGTGCCAATTCGTTCCTAGTACAGCACTAACCGCTGTGTTGGAGAACCAAACCACGTGTAAGCAAAGGCACGTGTAAATGTTGTGGCTGTCGCCTGATGAAGCTAGTTGTAATTACTGGCGAAACGTCGTACTCAGATTGTAAATGTTGTGGCTTGGCTCTCCAACACACCGGTGTGCTGTACTAGGAACGAATTGACACGTTTACGTGACAACCCTTATTAATTGGCTGTGTCGGGTGGGGGCGGATTTAACGACACCTCAAAGGACAGGCACTTAGAGAACGTGGACCTAACACGAGCATCTCAACGGCGTTGGCTTTGGATATCTGACACAGCCATTATGAAGCCTCTCACACACAGACAAGACACTCAGATTCTAGATTTGAAGCTTTCGTGACTGCAAGGATTCAACTTTGGTTTTTTCGGTAAAGTGACGTGGGTAAAAAATTAAATGAAATAAATGAAAACAACTCAATTAAATCACGACGTTTCGGGCGCAACACAAGCGGCCTTCTTCAGGTGGGAACAACGTAGCGAAATCACAACCGCTGAAGTGTGTCTTAATTTAGTTGTTTTAATTTATTTTATTTTTTACCTAAGTGACTTTACCGAAAAAACCAAAGAGTAAGACACCCAGAGACCGTGGACTCACGCTTAGAATCTCAGCAGTGTTGGGTGAGGAGATCTGACACAGCCATCATGAACCCTCTTTGAAAGAAAGAAAGAGAGAGACAGACACAGAACAGGCCACATAGTTTAAACCCAGGCAGGCCTTGCGTGGGTTTGGTTCGTAGTCTCTGGCACAGCCACCGTGAGCCAACGTGAGACACCACCCAGGGGACATCATCTGAGCCCTCCGTGACAACCGTTTCCGTGGCCAGTGGTGGCGCTCGCCATAAAGAAAGCCAAGTAAAAACACGGGCTCCCAAGTAGCTCAAGGCGGCTCCCTCATCTTTAGTAACGAAAAAAAACCCAGAGATGCACCAAAACTCAGCTCGAACTGAGATCCGAATGATAATAATAATCTCCATATATGTATGAAAGGCAAAGTTGTGAATATGTGTGTCTGTTCAAAATGTTTAGCGTACTTTCCCGACATGCAACAAACTGGAAATTTGCCATGTGGGTACTTTCCAGACTGTACACCATGCAAAAGTTATAAAAATCCACTTTATTTAGTTTTTTTTGGGGGGGGGGGGGAGCTCAATAATTCATATATTTTTTGCACGGCAAGTGAGCTGTGATGTCACATCTGTCACGTGACCCGCGCATGTGGCAGCGTAACGCATCGTAGTGTAGTGGTTAGCGCGCTGCGCTACGAACCCGGCGACCCGAGTTCGATTCCCGCTCACGGCCACCACCGGTGACGATTATTTGAACCGCTCCTGGGCCTCCCCTAGGTCGACTCAGCCTCAAACGAGTAACTGGTGTGGCGTGTGAACATCGCCACTGGGGAGACAAAGGCGGCCGGGCGTGGTGGATCCAAGTCCCGGGCGAAGCCGGGTAGTACAGCTCGTGATAATATAAAAATAAAAAAATGTCATAGCACTACTGTATTAGAATAAAAGTTAATTATGTGTGGGGCTATTAACAGGTCAAACGAGTGCCATACAATCAAATTGTGTAGCCGCGTCGAGCGGCCAAATCAAATGTCTGCTTAGGGTCCTCAATGGGGTGGGGATCTCCACTGACCCTGGGTGACCCTGGGTGACCCTGGGTGACCCTGGGTGACCCTGGGTGACCCTGGCTGTCGATCGAGAGCGGTGGGGAGGGATGCATGAGTCCATACAGTATGAAGATGAAGGCGCGGCCCTGCAACTTCTCGCTCACGCCACTGCCAGCGGAAGGTCCCTCCGCTCGAGGGAGTTTATAGCGAGGTGTATTCGGCCTACTCTTCCACGCTGGCCAAACATTTTAAAAGGAGGTGGAAGCACCCAGACTTTACACCACCACGAAAGCTTCAAATCTAGAACCACACGAACTGCCCATCAGCTAATTGTGCTTGAACCCATTTATCACTGCTCGGTGCGCTGCTCACCATAACACAATGGGCAGGGCACATTTTTCATAAATGTCCCTGATATATATAGACAATTTAGTTTCGTAACTTGTTTTTATTACTCGTATTATTATTATATCACGATTATAAGCGCGCACAATACGAGGTTAATTCTGTCTTTCCGCAGGGCGTGTTCAGCCTTTTAGTGCGAAATCCCAAGGCGCGCGCAGAGAGACAGAGACACTCCGAGGGGTCGCGGAACCACAACCCGGAGCACGCTCGCGCCGAGAGGGAGAAACACTCCGAGTGTTTGCTGAACTACAACACGGGACACGCTCGCGCCGAGAGGGAGAAACACTCCGAGTGTTTGCTGAACCACAACCCGGAGCACGCTCGCGCCGAGAGGGAGAAACACTCCGAGTGTTTGCTGAACCACAACATGGGGCACGCTCGCGCCGAGAGGGAGAAACACTCCGAGTGTTTGCTGAACCACAACCCGGAGCACGCTCACACTCGGCCAACACCCCATAGAGCCGGACAGATCCTCCAGTGGCAAAGACAAAGGTCCCCCATAGAGCCAGACAGACTATTGGGGCAAGTGCCGTTAGTCACTACGTATGAAGGCCAACATAGCACACGAGGGGGGCGAGCGGGAGAAGTAAATAATACCACTCCCGACCACCTTTATCTCCCCCCCATCCCCGGTGCTGATGTTTTACGCACCGCACCAGATGGACACTTAAGGCTGAGTCGACCTAGGGGAGACCAAACACCGCTTCATATCTCCGTCACTGGTGTGGTAGTGACTGATTAAAATTTTGTTTGCCGAATTCGTAGCGCAGTGCGCTTCACCACTACACTACCGCTCCCCACTCGTGTGTACACACACACACACGTGCACACACGCGCGTGCGCACACGTGTGTGTGTGTGTGTACGTACACAATGTGGGGAGCGGTGGTGGAGCGGTTAGCGCGCTACGCCACGAACCCGGCCACCCGAGTTCGAATCCCGCTCCCGGCCACCAACGCCAGTGACGATTATTTGAATCGGTTCCTGGGTCTCCCCTAGGTGGACTCAGCCTCAAATGGGTACCTGGCGCGGTGCGTAAACATCGTCACTGCGGAGACAAAGTTCGGCCGGGCGTGATGCTCGACCACCCACCCTCTCGCGTACCGTTCAGGCCTTCATAGGTATTGGCGAACAGCACTTGCCCCAACGTTCTGTAACAGGCTATACGGGGGACCTTTGTCTGTGTCTTGTGCGCAACAGAGCTGAGACCGGGTTGTCCTTATTTCCTCTGTGCATTGTTTGAGCGCGGGCCCCATTGTTCTACAAATAGGCACGCGCGTGAACACTGCACGCGCGTGCGCGCGACCCCGCCCCCGAGCGGCACTGCCTATTGTTCCCGCTGCGCCATTGTTCACGCCTCTCGCCATTGTTCTCACCGCGCGGTGAACTCACCGTCACCTATGTCCTGTTTATGTACTTGACAAAGGGGCAGCACAATGCTTGGCCCTTGACGAGGTTTTCCAGCGATGTTGTTTACTGACGACGGCTTTGTTGATGATGATGTTAATGGAGTGTGTGCGTGCGTGTGCGCGTGTGTGTGTTAGGGAGGAGCGGTTAGCGCGCTCCGCTATGAACCCCGCGACCCGGGTTCGATTCCCGCTCACGGCCAACACCAGTGACGATTATCTGAACCGGTCCTGGGCCTCCACCTAGGTCGACTCAACCTCAAATGAGTACCTGGTGCGGTGCGTAAACATCGCCACTAGGGAGACAAAGGCGGTCGGGCGTGGTGCTGGCCACACACCCCCTCGTGTACCGTTAGCGGCCTTCATAGGTGCTCGCTAACAGCACTTGCCCCTACAGTCTGTTAAGGCTATATGGGGGATCTTGTGTGTGCGTGTGGATGTTGACGCACGCTATCGTCACGAAGAAAAAAAAAACAATTTAACACGTTAGTCAAAATAATAAACACCGTGGCCTCTATAAAGTAAATATATGTCATAGACGACGTTTCGGGTAATGGCCCTTCTTCATAGCACATAGAGAGGGCCAGAGAGAGAGAGAGTTAGTAAGAGTTAAGGACTGCCTTAAACAAAGCACGGGGCCTGATGAGAATCACATAAAAAAGAAAAACGTTCCGATCAGTTTTTTTAAATAGGCGTATAAAGTCACACTAATTGTAGCGAGTGGGTAACAGGCAAACCCTTCAATAATGAAAAAAAGGTATTGCTGCCGAATTAACAAATTCATGTTTAAAAGTGAAATTGGGTGTTGCTTGTCCATTGCATTGTGGGTCATGAACAGCTCTCAGCTTAATGATGATGGCGAGGGTTTGATGATCGATCGTGTTTGATTGATGATGATTGGATGATGGATGACCGATGACGACAACGCATCGATACATTTCATGGAGCGATTCGCTTCCACAAGGATCGCTGGCAGCGTCAACACACCACAGGTACTTTACATCCATCGCATACGAATCGACAGTGACGATGGTCTGCACAGCGCACGGGGGCATCTGCAACCGAGATGACAAGAGGATGTATTTAAAAAATATATATAATCGTTAAACAAACTAAAAAAAACCCCGCTCAGTATTTCAAGAGCCACATTGCACGTGGCGAATAAGAGACGGTGGGTGCTTGATACATCACGCCGCGTGGACAGTCTTTAAAGGGCCACGCGCGGCTACGGATTCGCAGTTTACTGACTCCCCCCCCCCCATCCGCTTGGCATTGACGTTACCAAACTTTCTTCTTTCGCGGCTGATGGAGACGACGCAGCGTTTGACTGATGGCGGGTGGCTGACGACGACAACGCAGTGGCATCTACAGGAGATGAAACAACTTGATCATTGGTTTTTTACCCTTTTACCTGGCAACAAAACTGACACCTTTTTTACAAGGAGTCATGTTTGCATAGACCACAATACCTGCAGCCATAATGCAAACAAAAAACACAACTCTGATAATATATGCACTGTCCTTGAAGTTGATTGGTCCACACCCGAGACAGCTTTCCTTAGAGCCGAGTCTCACATGGTGTTGGACCAGATGACGCCAAAAGGCGCACAACTCAAAGACAATGCACCATCAGAGTATGAGAGCTCGGGTAAGCATTTACACCATTGGAACCTCATCTGCCAGTAAAAAATATAATTGTTTTATTTACCCTTTTATCTGGCAACAAAACTGACACCTTTTTTTACAAGGAGTCATGTTTGCATAGACCACAATAACTCTGATAATGTATGCACAGGACAGTGCATACATTATCAGAGTTATTGTGGTCTATGCAAACATGACTCCTTGGTCCACACCCGAGACAGCATTATGACTGCAGGTATTGTGGTCTATGCAAACATGACTCCTTGTTAAAAAAAGGTGTCAGTTTTGTTGCCAGATAAAAGGGTAAAAACCCAATTATCATATTTTTTACTGGCAAATGAGGTTCCATTGGATTAAACAGCTTGTAAAGCCATTCCCCCGTGTTTAGTGTCCACGCCGTACAACGTGTTTGGAATCGACAGCAATAGAACGAAATGATCGACGTACGAACACACCTCTAGAACCTAACTCGTTCGTAAACAGAGGAATCCCTGGAATAGGAAAAAGTGTGCAAAACACGAAGCGACCGTTGAATCAAGGGGTCAGCATTACATTTGCCTACAGCGCAATTCGGCTCGGGCAGTTCATCGCCATGATCGTGACGGCTTAAATCACACGACTCGGCTCCAGCGACACGAAACGTTCCAACAGCTGCGGCGGTGACGAAATGTTGCATTCGTACTCCTGGTGCACATATCGCTTCGCCAATGATTGATTTTTATTTTTAAATCCTTTATATTAAGTTCACTTGCCTGCTTGCTTGCGCGCTTACGACCGTGCAAATCTTTCGGTCGTGTTTTAACCCACTTCCCGTGATCCAATCGAGCTGACATTTTGCACACAGACTTGCTGTGCGTGACAATTTATTTTCGTGAAAATTTTTTCCAAAATTTTCCACTTTTTAGGAACCATTTTTTTCATATTTAATTTTAAATACCAATGTGATAAAAATGAAACTCTTACTCAAGAAAAACAGAAATGAATAATAAAATAAAACCGATGCCACGCATATAAAGGATTTATAGTGAAAAACTTTGTTTTTACGGGTTAATTTTTTAAACCTTGGTAAGAGAATCCAACTCAGGTCGCCGCTGGGCATTCATCGCCCGCAGTGCGCCAACCACTGCGTCACTACTCCCCTCCCCCCGCTCTTCCAATCCACAAAGATAAAAAAAAAACACAAAGATCCCCCGTATAACCTTAACAGACTGTAGGGGCAAGTGCTGTTAGCGAGCACCTGTGAAGGCCGGAACGGTACACGAGGGGGTAGGTGGCCAGCACCACGCCCGACCGCCTTTGTCTCCCCAGTGGCGATGTTTACACACCACGTACTCACTTGAGGTTGAGTCGACCTAGGGGAGGCCCAGGAACCGATTCAAATAATCGTCACTGGTGTTGGCCGTGAGCGGGAATCGAACCCGGTTCGCCAGGTTCATAGCGCAGCGCGCTAACCACTACTCCACCGCTCCCCGCTCCAACCCACAGCACTCTAAACACAAGCACTGTATGATGATGGTCGTGATGATTACGCATTGACACGCGTTCGGTAAATGTTTGCTACGCTGGCAAGAGCACAAATGTGTATCACGCAGATATGTACCACACACGGCAGGGGAACGCGCTCGAGTTTTCAAGGAATCCATGAATGAGGTTTGTTGGGGTTAGATCGCGTGAATAGATAAATGTGTCGTTAAAACCCGCCACCACCCGACACAGCCAACTAGTAAGGGTCGTCACGTTAACAGAACGTGGCCGATTCGTCACAAGCACAGCACTAGTGTATAGTGTAGTGTATAGTGTAGTGTAATATACTAGTACAGCACTAGTGTATAGTGTAGTGTATAGTGTAGTGTATAGTGTAGAGTATAGTGTAGTGTACTAGTACAGCACTAGTGTATAGCAGAGGTGGGACAAAGTCATTGTTATGCAAGTCCAAGTCGAGTCTGAAGTCATCAAATTCATGACTCGAGTCTGACTCGAGTCCAAGTCACATGACTCGAGTCCACACCTCTGGTGTATAGTGTAGTGTATAGTGTAGTATACTAGTACAGCACTAGTGTTTAGTGTAGTGTATAGTGTAATATACTAGTACAGCGCTAGTGAATAGTGTAATGTATAGTGTATTGTATAGTCTAGTGTATAGTGTAGTTATACTAGTACCGCACTAGTGTATAGTGTAGTGTATAGTGCAGTGTATAGTGCAGTGTATAGTGTAGTATACTAGTACAACACACCGGTGTGTGTTGGAGAGCCAAGCCACAACATTTACAATCTGTGTGTACGACGTTTCGCCAGTAATTACAACTAGCTTCATCAGGCGACAGCCAGATTTGTGTGGTGGCGGGTTTCACGACGCATTTATATATTCGCGATCTAACCCAACAAAAACCTACATTATGGATGATTCTAGATTTGAAGCTTTCGTGACTGCAAGGATTCATATTCTTGGGTTTTTTCGGTAAAGTCACAGCACGATTATTTTACTTGATACAGCAAGCGTGCTGTGACGGTTCCACCTGAAGACGGAGGCTTGTGTTGCCTCCGAAACGTCGTGATTTTTATTTTGTTTTTATTTTACTTTTATTAATTTAAATTAAAAAAATTTACCTACGTGACTTTACCGAAAAACCCCAAGAATATTATGGATGATATTGGTCGCCAAAGTGTACGCGTTATTACAGCATTACAAATACAATGTTAGACATGGGCAAACCTCCCTAAGAATGACGCCTCGCCGTCTTCGTCTCCCCATCCTCCCCCCAACACACGATGTCATCTCCCCTAGCGACAGACGGCAACATTAATTTTAGGCTGAGTTCACCTAGGGGAGTGCCCCGTGCCAAATGCAGGTGACGACGCTCATGTGCGTACGTTGTAACCGACACGGTGACCGGGCATAGGAACCCGTGTCCCTCACCACAATGCCACCGCTCCGTGCACCTGTGCACGTGCACCTGTGCACAGAACACCTGCACAGACACTAGCGGCGTCACGCGCTGTTTGCGACCACCTATTGACATTCACGCGAGGAGGGGTTGGGGGGAGAAGCTGGTCAAGAACCACGGCCGCCTTTGTCTTCCCCGCAGTGCTGATGCTTATACACACTCATTTAAGGCTGAGTTGACCTAGTGGGGGTGGGAGCGTTAACCACGACGCCACCACTTTTGGGGCAAGTGCTGCTTTCGCAAGCACGTATGGACACACACACACGCACACGCGCGCGCGCACAAAAATAACCACACAAACACAACTTACATACGTGTACACACAGTACACAAATCCCATTACTCTATACCCTACGTACATACACACGCGCACGTAGAGAAGACACACAGAGAGAGACAGCGTCAGCCTCACCCCGGGTAACAGCGCGACGCCGGGTCGTGCCTGCTCCGTCCACAGGTTTAAATCCACATCGTCTTCACCGAACGCCACGACCCCGGCGATCGGAGACGAGCTGGCGGGGAGAGAGAGACAGAGCGAGAGAAAGAGAGAGAGAGCGCAGCGTTTCTCTGCGTGTGTTGTGGTTGTTGTTGTGGGTGGCGAGGGGGGGGGAGGTTGTTCTCCTGGCAGGAGTCCTCATGGGATGAAGGTCCGGGTGCACGGGCGGTGATGGAGTGCGCAGAGAGAGAGAGGAGAGAGGCTGCAAAGGGAGCGCTTAGAAGCGTCGTGTGGATGCAGAAGACCCCCAAGGGTGGTTACGTCACCGCGACGGATCAGCGACGTACTTAGCACACCCCACCCTCCAAACACACACACACACACAGGAAAGGCAAAGATCCCCCGGATAGCCTTCACGGACTTTTGGGGGCAAGTGCCGTTCGCGAGTTGAACCTTTTGAAGGGTCGGCCGCAAACACGCCCGGCCGCCTTTGTCTCCCCGCGGTGGTGATGTTTACACATCGCGCTCAGAATTATTTGAGGCTGAGTCGACCTAGGGGAGGCCCAGAGCCGGTTTAGATAATCGTCACCGGTGTTGGCCGTGAGCGGTAATCGAACCTCGCTAACTGCTACACTACCGCTCTTATACACCAGCTCACTCACACACACTCTCACACACCAGCTAACTCATACACACCCTCTTACACACCAGCTAACTCATACACACACTCTCACACACCAGCTAACTCATACACACACACACTCTCACACACCAGCTAACGCATACACACACTCTCACACACCAGCTAACTCATACACACACACACACCAGCTAACTCATACACACACCCTCTTATACACCACCTCACTCACACAAACACACTCTTACACACCAGCTAACTCATACACACCACCTACTCATAAACACACTCTTACACACCACCTCACTCACACACACTCTTACACACCACCTCACCTCACTCACACACACCACCACCACCACACACACACACATCACCTCGCTCACACATACATACATACAAAGATCCCCCGTATAGCCTTAACAGACTGTAGGGGCAAGTGCTGTTAGCGAGCACCTATAAAGGCCGGAACGGTACACGAGGGGGTGGGTGGCTAACACCACGCCCGACCGCCTTTGTCTCCCTAGTGGCGAAGTTTATACACCGAACCAGGTACTCATTTCAGGCTGAGTCGACCTAGGGGAGGCCCAGGACCGGTTCAGATAATCGTCACTGGTGTTGGCCGTGAGCGGGGAATCGAACCCGGGTCGCCAGGTTCATAGCGCAGCGCGATAACCGCTACACTACCGCTCCCCATACA